GCGCAAGCATATTTCAAATAACACCTTAATTAATAAAGAATTATAGTTTAACAATTAACCAAAATATAATAAATAAATATAAATAATAAAATATTTATTTAATAATAAAAATATATTTTTACTGTAACGAAATCCTGTCTTATAAAAATAAATCATTAATGAAATAATTAGTTACAAAGAAATCTGAAAATTTTTAATGATTATTAATTATTTTCTAATCATAATTTTTGTTAAATAACAAATATAATTCTATATTTATAATAGATCTAATTTTATAAAAAGGTTGTTTTTTATTAAATTTTTTATAATTTAAAAAATGTATTAAACCACCTCATTAATATAATACACAATTTATTGAAAGTTTAAACATAACTGAAAAAATTTCTTTCGTTACATTAATATTTAGTTAAATAAATTTGCAGTTTAAAATTATTATACATTAAAACTTACTTTAAATAAAAATTTTTGATTGTTTGAGATTTGTATGTTATTTAAATAGTTTATTAAATACTAATAGTAGTTATAAATTATTTGGAATTATTTAATTAATATAATTTAAATAATAATTAATTGTAGTACTAAAATCTAATTGGGAAACATTTGGTGGTTACTTATCTTTGTATGTAAATAGTTTTATTCGCACTTGCAAACACGGGTGCGTAATTATGCTCGCAGGAACGTGTGTGCACATTATAAATATTATATATATATATATATATATATATATATATATATTAAGTATATATATATATTATATATATTAATTTAATACTGTAATTCTTAATGATTTAATTAATCGATCTACAATTCCATAAGATTCAATATATAATTATTAACGTCAGTTTCAGATATTATAATGTATTTTCTACGTTAAAAATAAACATAATAAAATAGCACGAAACCTCAAATAGGAAGTCCATTCATAAAGTGTTTTAAAATTAATTCAAATAAATATACGATAAAAGTACTTTAAATATTTTAGAAAAAGAGCAAAATTAAAAAACTACGTAGACAAATTTACAAACAGATGTAAGCATGTGACGCAGACTGATGCATTTATAGACAAACGCACACGTATGTATGAGAATGCGAACTGTATACTCACGTGGAAAAGAGAATAATTCTCAAGGGATATATGGTCCACTCGAAAGAGAAACGATTTCGAACAGAAAAGAGGAGAATGAGTAAAATAGTAAAAAGAAGGAGAGACAGTCAGAGAGCACAGAGAGAGAGAGAGAGAGAATATGATGTCAGAGGAGATGGCAGAGTGAAGTGGTTAGGGGTAGTCGGGTGTAGTGAGGCAGTCAGGCAGGTTAGAAAGGGCGGAAGGCAGACGGGCGGCAGACGCCCAATGCTTGTCCCCTCCAGTGGCGCGCTTCACAATCCGTGACTCACCAAACCGTTAAGGGATGTAGCCGCCGCCTCTGTCTCTTCCATACACCTTTGCACACATATGTGCACTTATCGATGTGAGTGTGTGCTCGTATCGCGCATGTATAAAATGATGCTCGCAAAGAGTCGTTGCGCATACGACGACATACTTCGCCCTCTCAACTCGCACCCAGAAATGAATGTCACGCGTTACTGCAGTCTGCAGTATTTCGAATTCCGCGCTCAATTTCAAATGTTTTAAAATCCCTGCATCATGATTTATTTAGGATTGAATTCTGAACGTATTTATATTTTATAGTATTTCCATAAAAATTCTAAAGTTACTATAAAATTTAATTGATAAGTTACTATTCCTTATGCTGCATTTTAAGACTATCCTTAAAACACCAGAACTGAAATTATAAATCTTACATTATTTAATAATATAGTAAAAGCCTTATCGGTAATAAACGTTTATCAAATTATAAAACAATGTTTGGTTAAATCTAAAAATGTTATAAGTACTTTATTATCGTGCTATATTCAAAGGAAAACTTATAATAAGTCAGTAAACAAATTATAATACATCATAAGTATTATAATAATATTATACTATTGCTTATCTATTTCAATTTCAATAACTAGAAAGAATGCATAACTAATAATTTAATATTTAATATTTGATATTTGATATTTGATAATATCTAATGATAAAAATATTATAATAATATACATTTTGATGTTGAATCTTGAGAAACTCACCAATACTGAATTATCAAATAGAGATAGAATAATTTACTATTCAAAGAAATATAATCTTCACATGTTAATTGGATTAATAGTAATATTATATGTGGCTGAACTAAGTTAAAAAAAATTACAAAAACAAATTGTGAAAAATTTTTTTTTACAACTACAATTGTTTCATCCTTATAATGATCTATTATAACCATTATACATAAATATAAATATAAATGTAAATATAAATAGGAATATAAATGAAAATATAAATATATGTTATTGAAACTTTTCTTTCTAAAGGTAGAAAATTTAGAAAAGTTAGTAATAAAATATGTATTTTACATGAAAATATTATGACTAAATCAGTCTACATTTTTTAGATTTATTTAAAATATAAATTTTAATGTTTTATTAGGGCCTTGAATTAATTTAATATTAATATAAATGAAAATATTATTCCTTAGAAGTTAACATATCTTATATTAATTCATTAAAATAAATAAAATAATTATTTGTTTTATTTTCTGTCTTATTATATGATTATATTTATTAAATGATGGTCAAAAAAAAAAAAAAAAAATATTTCAAATCATTTTATAATTAATTAAATAATATTATAACTAACCGTTATAAATAATTGTTCTTAACTTGTTATTAGCGCTTTCTAAAATACAAACACTCATATTTTTGGAAAACCTAATTCGCATTTTAAAGAAAGTTAATAAAGTTGAAACTTTCGATACATCGAAAAATTTGTACTTCTACCAACTTCATTCATCTAACATTTTTTCATTTATCTGCATTATTATAGAATATCTGTCGCGTAATTTTATATATTAAAAAATAAAATCGAATAATTTAGTTTATAATAAAATGAAATTGATAAATATGTTAAATGTTTCAATTAAATTTTTCTTCGTATACTGATTAATTTCATTACGAAATTATAATTTGCGAAAAAGAATAATTTTAGAAATACTGTAATTTTTAGCAACGTGAGAAGACAAGTTTATAATAACTTTGACCTTACTTGAACTCTATAGAAAGTTCATAAGAAAAAGAATCAACATTAAATGTAATCTTTTATAATGCATGAATGTATTATAAAGTATTATGTGCGGTTTTTACAGATGGATATTAAATTCGGAAGAAAAAAAAATCGAACAAACTTTCAATTTATAAATATTTAAATCGCTCAGTAGTTATACTATGTAAAGAAGTTCAATCAGAAATATAAAATACAAATGTCCCAGTGAGTGAACAAAGGGAAGATGAACTAACGGAAGAGGTAGAGAAAGAAAAGAAAATAAAGAGAAATCGATCCTCTCTGTATCCCTACTCTCTGGAAGACGAACCTTGGAACCCGTCTCTCCGGCACTAGAGTACACGACAGAGAATATCTCCGAGCTACGATATAGTTGGAAAAATATTGCGACAATATAGTTGGGCGAAGTTACACGGTACTCGACGGATGAACTCGCATTACGGGAGGGTCCGGGATTTATAGCAGTGCAGTCTGCCAGTCGATAAGCAATGTCCGACGACGCATTAGGCTGACTTCACACACACACACACACGCGCGCGCGCACACACACACACACACAACTATACGAAATACATTTCTAGTTGCTCTCTTCTCTTTAGCATTCGCTCGCGTTGGAAATTATGAAATTTTATCTGAAAAATTCCCTAAACTAAAATTCCGTCGCTCAATGCCCGCGATCATTGTAAGCTTTTCTTAATACCAATTTAGTGATTTCTTTTCGCTACTTTCACGTGCAGTATTTATCGACATTCACGAAACATTAATGGCAAATATAATTGGCAAATTAACAATAATGATTAATAATTCATGATATTTTTTTGGTACTCTGTAATCAATTATTTGGCAGCTTGAAATTATTTGCGCGTATAAAACGCACGAGATAATATTTTCCTTTTTACATTGTTTTAACACGATGAGTAGTTACTCAAAATTATTTTTCCATAATTTAACGTTTTTAATATACTTTTTTGTCTTTTGGAGAGAAAACTTAGAAATGTGCTATGGTATAAAATTATGTATTTCTAATATTTCAAACATCAAACCCTTTTCGTTCTTAAGAATAGAAAGCATATAAATTTACAATTCATAAGCATAATATACATGAAAGTTATTGTAAAATAGAATTGCTCGGTTGATTGTATACATTGATTAATACTTCTAGTTCATGCCCATAAGTTCATGATGGCGCAGACACTGGAAAGGAAAAAAGAATAGAGAATATACTTACGCCACAGTCTCATGTCTCTTATGCAATAACTCTATTCAGTCATACATATTGAAATCGTCAATAAAAAATTAATTCGATGATCATTTTTAAAATACATGAGTTTTTTTTTTTTTTTTAAAGACTAAAGGCAAATAATATTGTTAACGTAATTATACATTATGAAAATAAAATAATAACAATAAAGGCATATGAGTTATTATGGAATTCTTTTTTATTGAAAAAAAAATGCATTTGTGATATGATGTAATTGAACGCGGATTACATTAAAACATGCCTAACGGTACATAAGTTTATAATAAAATTAGCAGAGTAAAACTATATGTGATTGATGCAAAATATATACTTGATAATTGATAGATTGAATATTCAATACGAGTCTTAATCTAAAAATCTATTAAATTCAATCATTTGCATAATTTTCATAGAAATATTGTATAAGAAACATAATAACAATTCGATACGTCTCTTAGGGTATCTTTCATTAACAAGTGCTTGCAATTAATTTTTTCATCATTATAGCGTTAACTAATTTTCATATCAACTACGAAATCTATTTAATTACTATATTAATCTATAATGATGATATTTTATTTAATTTATTCCTGTTATTTTCAGGACGAACATTAAATCGCCAACCATTGCTGGATTTTCCACTGTCAAGTAGTGAGCCAGCACTTGAGCCGCTAAGTATCAAAAAAGCCACATTATGGGCCCGAGTTGAAGTGAGACACGCGCATCATTCTCAACATCATCGGCAAAATGCAAATAATCATAATCAACGAACGATTAAGCTTTGGGTGTTCAGAGTGCGATGTGGAAATGCAACACATTTACGTGGCAAGGTACGTATCGTGAAAAAAATGAATATTGAATTGAATATAACATTGTTTTATTTAAATAGTAAACAATCCTTAACCAAATCTTACTTACTTATTATTTAAATATTAAATAATTTTAATAAATTGTCTCATCTTTGTTGCCTAATATAACAATTCTTTAACAAATTTAGGAAAATGATTAAATTATGCTATGCATACGTGTTTTATATCTTTTAAATTGCTTAAACTAGGAATAAGAAACTTGGTAGAAAGATCGGATTATGTAGAGGGAGAGGGAAACTATCAAAAAAAAAAAAAAAAAGCAGCAAAATAAAGTTTTGAGAAATCTCATTTAATTTATTACCATTCAATTCTATTAAATTCTATTATCCTTTCTTTAACCATCTCGAGCTATCTATATAACTTAATGTAAAATCTATTTTTCTTTATATACCTTCTCATAGGATCAGTCCTATTTTTAGAATTTCGATTAAGTATAACATATTATTTAACACACTTTAGCATGAATTTTATAATTATAATTATGGTATTTATGTGGCTAGATCTTTAATAATATTCTTATTCTTTTTTCTTAAATTATGCTTATGATATAGAATAGCCGTTCATATAAAATAGTTAATATTAATGTTCTAATTCATTTTACGTTCATGGAAAATAGTTAACGAAATAATAACGATTTTTCATAAATTAATAATATGTTGATTGTCAAAATTGTTATCGTACCCACGATGCTGAAATATATTTTTCATTACCAATGAAGAGTAAACATTTTTTTTTTAACTTTACGTCTATCATTACAAAAACTCTACGTCTTTAAAAAAAAAAGTATTCTTATTAAAATAAGGTTGAAAAGTTTATAGAAAAGAAAAAATTAATAAGATAAAGGAAATATAGACCTTAGTGTAGATAATTTAATTAAATAATAAAAAAAAGTCAATTATTTGTAAATAAACGACGATTTATCGAGCTATATTCCCAATCATTTTATGAAAAGTTATTTTTAGTAAATCTAACTTACAGATTCTATCATTATCATATAGTATATTCGATTAATTTTATCTTTTTTAAATAAAAGATAACAAAAATTTTCGCTTAGTCGATATAGCATTTTACGTAAGAAATATCTTTAAAAACTTAATAAAAAATTCAATGCCTAAAAAATTTTTAATTAATATCAATAGTTAATTCCGTATTATAAAAAAAAAATAATAAAATAGCTCGTAGTATTCGATCCATAAAATTGTTTATTTTTTATTTGACATATGGTAATATCGTAGGAGAAAGGAAGGATTACGCAGTTTAGTGCAATGCCAGATAGTCAGAAGTATATTGAGCTTATCCTATTACTGATTACAGGAACTCGGTCAACATCTAGATATGATAACATCCCTCGTTGTGAATATTGGTCAGTTAGGTTGGCAAAAGTTCGATGTGACGAGAATTGTTGCTGACTGGTACCAAACATTTAATAATAAAGACAAACTCACTCTTCTCATCGACTGTACGGGATGTGGCTCACACGTGCATGTCTCTACGTTCGGCAATCAGTCGCCTCATATCGTTGAGCCCAATTTGAATATCAAAAGTAAGTATGTTAAATATACTGAATAGTCCTTTATATATTTCTAGCACTACTATTAAAAGTAGAAAGGCTTAAGCAGCCTATCAATCGATAAATATTTAGTCCCTTACAATTTAATCATTATTATTGAAATATTTTTATCCACGTGTCTTTCTATATAAAGTTCTTAACCTTTGACTAAACCTTTTGGGCGTGGCATGTACGTATACGCGTATAAAACAACTAATTACTAGATAAACGTATAAGAAATACATTCTCTATTAATATTCATAATTAAAAAAAAAAAGTGGATAAACAGAATACACTGTATTTACAGATGTCTGTAATTTAAATAACTGACGCGTTATAACGTTAAAATATTAAATATTTTACTATTTTTTTTTTTCAGATACGCATGATTCAGATCGTCCGTTTTTAGTTATAAGAACAGACCCCAGAGCTGTGAAGAGAGTGAGAAGACGAGCGATCGAGTGCACAGGTGCAGTCAAAGGCCAATGTTGTAAGCAAAGGTTCTATGTAAGCTTTTCGCAACTGGGTTGGGACGACTGGATAATCGCCCCACAAGGGTGAGCTATTTTATTTTTATAGAGATTTATGATCTATTAAATATAGACAAGTGCAGATTTTTTATTAAAAATATGTCGATACGATGATTTCAAAAGTAAATATATTAAATAAATGTAAAACAGAAATGCTTATACTTATATATTATCTCTAATATATTCGTTTGAAATGAATTTTTATATAATACTTCTTAAGCTGTTCAAATTCTATGCATATAAAGTATACGTCGAATACTTCTAATTATGAAATATAATTATAAAATTTTATAAAAAAATTCTCACCTAAATTATATATATATATATATTTATATATATATAATTTATAAAATTTTATAATTATATTTCATAATTAGAAGTATTCGACGTATACTTTATATGCATAGAATTTGAACAGCTTAAGAAGTATTATATAAAATATAAAAGTATTATATATATATAATTTAGGTGAGAATTTTTTTATAAAATTTTATATATATATATATAAATAAGTGATGCAAACAAATATATTCAAATACATTTATTGAAAATGTATGATAAATGCATTATATATATATTTATAATGAAATTAGCTATCAAATTTAATTGATTGAAATGAATGAAATATAAGCATATTGGTCAATTTTTTAAATAAAAATTATTGAATCCATTCAAGTACATGTCAAATATAAAAGAATATTTTCATAACTTAAATCAAAATGTGGCCTAATTTTACAATTTCATCTAATGTGATGTATTGCATGAAAAAGGGTTATGTCAAGGTTTTGGCAGTGGACTTTAAAGTATTTTCTCACAAATATTGATTTAAAAAACTTAATTTACATAAAGGTCAATGATTATATATAAGTTATATAAATTAATAAACCTACTTCTCGTTAAATAAAGTAGGCCAAGTTTCTTCATGCATATGTATATATCAGTTGTACATATAATTGAAGAAATTGCAGTTAAGAACAATTTGAAATACTAATTTTTATTAAATAAAAACCTATTTAACTACTAAAACTAAATTTAAACTAAATTTCAATTGGAAAATTTTCTATACAATAATCAGTATTTTATAATTTAGGCATTCATGAAAAAAAATTTAAATATCTGCATATAACAGAAAATTATAAATACAATTAAAAATTTAATAGATTTAAACAAATTTTAATTTATTTAAAAAATTATAGCGATAAATTTCAAATAACGTTTATATTCCATATATTTTTTATTAATTCCAATATTTTAATAATTATTAATAAATTTAATAGCTCGATTGAGCTCATAAATGCATAAAATACTTATTTTTTATTTTTATTTGGTGAAAAGAATAATGTAAAGCTTTGGATTACAATTTATATTTACTGCAATGAATGTAACATTCAAAATTTATTTCTTTGGCATCTTTTACTTCGTATACTATATTTTAAAAGAATTTTCTCAAACTAATTCATAGAAAGATTAGATATTTATTAATGTATCCAATCAATTATTCTAATTAAAAAGATTCTTTAGGAACATATTAAATCAATTGTTTAAAAAATAATTAAATAATAGCAGAGTATTAATAAAAAAATCTATTTATTTATTATTCCACGCAAATTTGTTTTTATTAATTATGTTAATGTTTTAATTTCATGATGATGACCAGGTATATATTATATTAAATAGTAAACCGCATCATAATTAAATATCAGGTTTTATCAGTAGAAATAATTTAAATATTTTTTAAAACCTTTATGAACTGAAAATGGACCAATATATTTTTTGTGCTTTAGAAATAATACACAGAATATAATGAATTAAATAAAATTACTGATTTACTATCTATAATTTTGATATTTTATCTTTATGAATATTAAAATATAATTATAATAATTGTGAATAAAAAATTAATTGTCATATCTTATACGAATTTGTGAATATATAGAAGTATAAAAATGAAATAAATTATTCTGCCATTTTTACAAGATATTCAACTTCATCTTGCTTTTAGTTATATTACATATATTTAATTTATTTTATAGAATATAGAACGACCTTTAAGTTATAAATCTTCTCTATGATTAGCAGAATGTAATAATATAATATATTATTATGAATTTTATGAAATTTTATTGAATCAATTCAAATGACAGTTTATAAAATTCAATATTTATAAATATATATATGATACATATATGTATATTTATTAATTTCTTCTATGTAAATAGGATTATTATTTACTGCATATAGATAATAATATTTATAATAATTAAATATACATCAAAATATAATACGGTTAATGTCATAACTTTTAGAATAAATTTAATTTACATTAGTATTTCAATTCTATTAATCAATTTACCTAATAATTATTGACTTATACTGAATTTGAAAATATGTAAAATAAATCTAATAAATAAAATTTGATAATTTCACATTGTGTAACAATTAAAATATCGGGATGTTATTTTAGATATTACGCGAATTACTGCAGAGGTGATTGTGCGGCAGGACACAGAACACCTGACACTTTTCCGAATTACTACACTCACGTTATCGAAGAATATCGAAAGATGGATAGACTCGCCGGAATGCAGCCCTGCTGTGCGCCTCTGAAGTTCTCTCCAATGTCGCTCATCTATTATGGTCCAGATTCGAACATAATTAAGCGGGATTTGCCGAAAATGGTCGTTGATGAATGTGGGTGCCCTTAGGTAAAATTAATCAGATAGAGGAGTAACAGATTTATTAACGACGCAACAACTGTCATTTCGGTACATAGTGGATAAATAAATTAGAATGTAAACTAGATATAAGTAGAATTAAATGAGCAAAAAATACATACAGAAGAAACGGAAGAGAACGATGATGAGAATTATTTAAAACTTGTATGCCTGTATGTAGGTATGTCTGTAGATTCAAAAGAATCGAGATAGCGAATTAAGGAGAAAGGGATCGAATTAGATTCAAATATGAAAGAAAAATTATAGTATAGATATACAAACTATTAGAAAAAAGAAGAAAAGAGAATATAACTCGTGCACTAAAAGTAAAGAAAATTTTCACATAGATAGGATTAATCAATGAACTTATGATAAAAAAGTGTGTGTGGTTATGCTATTATAATAACACGTGCGTGAGCGCATCTATTTTCATGCATTAATTATTGTATGTGTGATAGAATGATAAACAGAAAGAAAGAGAGAGATAGAGAGAGAGATAGAGATAGAGATAGAGAGAGAGAGAGAGAGAGAGAGAGAGTAAGAGAGTAAGACAATACGAGACAGAGATATTAACAGTTTGCTAGAAACATATTGGTCTGCAAAGATTCTTATCGAGAGCTTAGTCTTTTTTATTTGTTGCGAATGTACTTTATGCGTACATGTACATATGAAATGATTTATCCGAATCTAATATATTATATATAAATATATTATATATATATATATATATATATATATATATATATATATATATATATGTATGTATGTATGCACGTATGTATGTATGTATGTGTGCACGTATGTATGTATGTATGTATGTATGTATGTATGTATGTATTTATGTATGTACGTATATATATTTATATTTATGCATATATATATACATATATGAAAGAAAAAATTGATTAAGGTTTAAGTATAAATAATGAGCTGTTAAAATGGAAACAACTCAAATCTAATTGCCTTGTTTTTTATGCAATACCTATGAAAGTATCGAGTAACGATTTAAAACAAAGTCCGAGCACTATTAAAAAAATCTATATATATAAATAATATATATATATATATGCATATACATCCGCGCGTGATAACGGCAAAAGAAATTTAAGCGCGATAGCAATGGGCGGAAAATAATTAAGAGTTCAAAAGCTCTGAAGGAAATTACTATTAATTATATTATTAATGAAAATAAAATAATAAATGAACAACCTAAGGGATAAGAGAGTAATACGTAAGTTTTGAAAATTTTACAAAGCATGTTGAATTACCAGTTATCTCAAAGACCGAGTCTGTAAACTTTAATCGATCTTAGGGCATTCCATAAATTAGTTAAACTTATAAATACAAGTAAAAACTAAAAGGCTAATAAAATCTTCAATTTATTATGAAAAATAATTAAATAAATGAGATGATAAGTGGCGAAGACGAGGAATGAGAATTTAAAAATAGTCAAACTTAAAATTTTCGAGGTCAGAACGATCCCACGTGGATTTTCTATAGAATATGATGGACGGAATGGTGACGATAACAATAATTATTCTTAAATAAATGATGGATACTTAAAAATTATGCATAAAAGAACATTAATGACAATAATGAAAATGTAATAAAACAATGCTCGTTTGCCGAGAGTTGCACGATAGGGTTGACTGATTTTAATTTTATTTTTTTTCGGCATATACCAATATAATTTTCTTGAGTAACTAGAAATTAAAATCTTTAACATAATATAGTTATAAACAAACTATTACAAAGGAAATAATGAATTGAAAGGTGAAAATCGAAGATATGACTTTATCTTGAAATTCAATTAAGGATCACGTTGAAAGCTTTAAGCTTGCAAAGAAGTTAGTGTCATAAACAGGGTTTAGTGTTGACGCATTAGATGACTGCACATGTACACGCATAGTCACACGAGGAAAATTATTCATTAGTGTGGATGAAAATAATATGAATATACCGTGACTAGGAAAAAAAAATATGGAAAAATAAAAGATGTCAAAAAGAAAAAAGCGTTTTTAAAGGTATATTAAATTTTGTGGGATAGTTCAATGACCCCACGCAGCCTTACTAGGCCTTATTAAAATATTATCGCATTATTACTAAATTATTATAAAATAAAAATAAAAAAAAGAATAACGATATTTACGCTACTTCCAATATCTTCATGCAGGTAAACATAATAAAAAAAACTTATATTATAAAATATAAATACCGACGACGAAGGACACTGTAGTCATCAGTCGAAAACTTTTTCGAACAGACTTTAATAAATGTTAAAAGACAAACAGTTGATTTGAATACTTGAGATTTGATAATCTCAGTATTATATAAGTAAAAGAATAATGAATTGAAGAAACATTTTGCAGTTTTCAGCTACTAGCCAAACTTAAAAGAAAAAAAAAACTATTGCGTCCAAGTAAAGAATGAAAAGACTTGCGTAACTTTAGTGTAATCGCGTAATTACTGTTAAGACTTATTTTGATTTGTTTAACCGACGTTGTTAAGTGGAATAAGCAAAAATAATCAATGATTGAAGTAAGCGTTAATAACAATAAAACAATGTGTAAGCGCCGGATAAAAAAGGAATGTCAATTTTCACAAAGAAAATTTAAGGAAAGTACCGAGGCCTTTATCAGCTCATGGGCTGTGTTTAACAAAATCATCCAATATAGGCCTATCTAAAGTACTATTCTCTATATAAAAAATGATGCCAGAAAAGTATTAAAAGTTAATAGAAAAATATGAATTCAATTTGAATCTATTATTAACTACTGAAATAAAGTACTTGCGGCTTTCGACTATTTCTACGGCTTTCTCAAATAACCATAATATATGTACATATGTACGTGTACATTCGTACATACTTACGCGCGCACGCGCGCACACACACACACACACACACACACACACACACGACACGACACAACGCCACTACCACCACCACCACCCCGATTCACCAACCCACATACACGCGCCCGCACACGCCCACGCACACACGCATAGACGCACACAAAGGCACACACGCATGCACGCGTGTATACGTACGCATACATTATATACACACATGCATCCATAATTATAATACGCATTATATACACACATGCATGCATACATTCGGACATAAATAAGTATATACCTGTACTATGATTGGCGTGCATGCATGCACACGTAAGTTAAATTAATCCGAAATTGATTAACAAGCTTTTGCACATATGTGTGTATATATATGTATATTTTCTTCGGTAATGCATCCATTACCGTGAAATTGCTGAAACTCATTAACATGCAAATTAAATCAAATAAATTTATTTTAATCATGTTATAACCCATGAATTGGCCTATATAATCTGTGTCTGAAATCGATATTCACATGTATGAATTTTTGCAAAAGAATAATTAAAAGAAAAATACTACAAGCACATTCTCAAGTACATATATACATATATAATAAATGAAACGAGAGCAGCAATGTAAAAATTATTTCATAATCCACATTGTATTCTTAAAATCCATCATAAATAAAAGTGATATTATTAACAAAAATTCCAATGTTCTTATGCGAAATGACAAAATTAATATTGTTTCGATCTAACTGTTTTTGTACTATACCGTCTCTCGTTGAAATATAGAAAATAAAACATGTATGAACTTAAAATTAGTAAAAGAAGAGAGGACAATGCCAGGTTGGGTATGAGAGAACCGCGAGTAATAACTTGATGAAGGAACTAGTGGTGCATCAACAAAGAACTGAAAAATTTTTAAACTACAAATTGTAAATTATAAGATGTGTTTTTGTCTTTAATCACATCATTATAATAGACACAAAATTATTTGAAACTTGAACCTTCGTTGATTCGTCACTCAGTATTTCTACGTTAGGTGTAATTTTGACATAAAATACTTAAAAATATAGAGTTATATTGTACCATGTAAAAATATGTACAGGGATTCCCGGGTTTAAGATTTTTCTCCGAAGATAAGCAATGATTATGATAAAAATGCGAATAACTATAAGCCATACAGATGAATTCTCGAGGAGTTTGAATCTGAATAAATCTTTAGACACAAAAATATGTTTAGAGTGTCTGGAAAAAGTGCAAATGATCCAAGAAGTGTAAATGAAAAATTTATTAAGATAAGGCCAAAAATATGAAATTAATCAAATAATGGCCAAACTCTTATGTTACAGAGTAAATAAGGATAGCTAAAAATACAAAAAGATAGAAAAAGTCTTATGAAAATGAAAAATTTAAATAATTAAAATAAAAATCTATTTTAAGTTATTATATTCCATTGGTTTTCACAATTTCAAATTTTATAATTATACTAATATAGAACATAATATAATAATAAATTATGGAAATAAATATTTATTTCAAACAAAAGTTGTTCTTTTAAAAACAAGTGATAAAATTGTTTAAAAAAACTAATCTCTACATAAACAAAATTTATAGTCAATTAAAGAAGATTATTTTGTTGCTTTCTTAAAAAAATGAAATTTTAATTCAATTTTTAATTAAGTTCCAATTTCAGCATATTAATATTTTTGATATATTTCTTAGAATTAAGTAAGTCAATTTATAATTTATAATTTTCAACTAGACAATTTCTTAAATACTTGGCTGTATTTTCATTTTTCAAAAAGAATACAGAACATTAGAAGAAAAAATAAGAAATTAAATTACATAAAAATGTGAAAATAACATAAAAGGAGTGATAATAAGATGATGAAAACTTGATGCATGCGACTGAAACATAAATACTTCAAAGCAGTGGAGAATCATGTTCCTCTGCAAGTGAGAAGTTGGTATTGAAACGAATTACTGTATTTTTATCCTCGAGAATAAGTCAATATCGATTCTTCTGCCAATTAAAAACACGTTTCTAATAAGGAATTGCTTTATTAGCAACTTAACAACATGAATTTACTATCTATATGATCAATTTTAGATAGATCAAACGATTAATAAAAAAAAACGAAAAAATATGTTTCGAATCTCTATCATCGCATACTTTATTGTTAAGCTTATAATTCGTTTATAAAATGTTCAAAACAATTGTGGTTTAGAATAATTACACGCGCGCGCGCGCACGGACACACACACACACACACACACACACACACACACACACACACTCCACATACACATACACACATGCACATACATATTCACACGCATAACTATTCAGCGATAAACTATGAAAAATAAGAAGTGTTGTTAACCGTTATTTATTGACTACTCATATTAAGTACATTAAAAAACAAAAATGACAAATACACAAACTGATCGATTTTAAAAAGTTGAAAATAATGCAAGTATCATAAATAAAAGTTAAAGGGTATCAAAGTTAGATTTTTTGCTATAAAGTTAAAGGCATTAAAAAGTATTCAATATTTTGTAATCATAAGCAGTTAACAATTTATTATATTTATCTTCTATCGTGTAATTTTTACTAGCGAACAACCTACAACACCGAAACTTAGCTTCGATTTTTATATTAATAATAATAATTATAATCATGATGATGATGATGATGACGATGATGATAACGACGACGACGATGATGATGATGAAAATGATGAAAAATGATGAAAATGATGAAAAATGATGAAAATGATGATAATAATAAATATAATAATAATTATAATAATAATAAATAATAACAACACTGATAATGAAGATGGTGATGATTATGATGAGGATGCTGACGAGAAGGATGAGGATGAGGATGAGGATGAGGATGAGGATAAGGATAATGATGATCATGATTATGATGGCGACGACGCCGACGACGCCGACGATGACGACGACGATAATAATTATAATAATACGTATATAAATATATATATATATATATATATATATATATATATATATATGTATGTGTGTGTATGTACATGATATTACGACAATAGTAAGGGAAAAAATATCTTCTTTTTAAAATTAAAGAGAATTCTTGCTTCTCGTCTTTCTCTATAAAAGCCATATCTTACACGAAATCTGGTCTTACAATTTACTGACACCCCGATTGTATGAACTATTATTCGCACTTATAGCATTAGAATCATATCAGTAATTGGCCTTTTTCTCATCAAAGAAAAGGGGGGAACATGTGTCAGATATTTACTTATAAATAACCAGTATATTATCCATTGTTAAGCATTAGCAAATTCTTTAGCACTGGTCATAACACTTTTTATCTAATTTATTGATCTTCCATATGTATAAATTCATTTTCTATAGAATTATATAGACTCTCTTGACCACATTCGATGAGAAGTATATAAAAAATGTTTAAACTCAGTACTTGTAACTTAACCACTATATATTTTTCCATATCTATAATAATAATTTAAGAGAATATTAAGAAAATAAAATACTTTTGCAATCGATGAAACTTAATATTTAGATTGATCTCGTCACAAGAGTTTCAAGTTTCACAAGAAATAGGTTTATATGTAATAAATATTAGATTGACAATATTTCAATTTAAAAAAATTCAAAAGTAGGTTGTTTGCTGATCTGTCCTTGAATTGTTTCCAATTAATAGAATTGATTTATTTTATAAGTTTATATCGAAGAAGCAGCACTGTCAAAAAGTAGAAAGTTACTAGAAGAAAGCAATTTATACTGTACAATATCTATTTAATAGTCCTCTCTTCTTAATATATTAAGCTTTTGTTTTCTATCCAAGGATCTGCTTTGAGAAACGACAAAAATAAATAAGAATAAAAGTCATTTCATTATACATTCGAGTAAAACGCATTGTATTTATTTTTCTGAAACTACATTTACCATTTTCTTTACTTATTTTTCAGATTTTATAGAAAATTGATAAACATTAAATTTTTAGTAGTAATTTACTAGTATTAGTATGTAGATGTTTAGAATAGTTTTATTTATCTAGTGTAAGAATAATATGTATGAACGATATTTATTAAATTTGCTTTTAAAAATCATTATATATGAGCAGGTAAACTCGATTATATAAAGATTCATTACACTTAAAATATCTACTATTTGTTAATGACAAACTATTAAAAATAATATCAATTCTATCTATGCAATTTAAAATTGAAAATTTCAATAATAATTAAAAAAGCGTTTTTGAAAATATTTTATTTATGGATAACAAATAAAACTATAGCAATAAATTAATATAAATATATGTTTAAAAAATTATACCAAAAATTATAAAGTGGAATAATATAATGTTGATTAAAAATAGTAATTCTTGTAGCAACAATTTGGTAGTAAAAAGTAGTATTTCTATTATTTAAATTTTAAAAGTAAGATAGATATAAGTTTTATATAGTTTTTGTCTACTCATATATAAAAATAATTAAGGTCCGAAAGGTTTTGCAACTTATTGCTTTAAACATTATGAATGTTCTATATTCTTTAATAGATTTATTATTAATGTACAAAAAAAAAAAAAAAAAAAAAAAAACACATAACCTTTTTTATTTATCGTTTTTACTATTGTTATAAGATAAAATTTGATTTTAACTTATTTCTTAAAGAAATTAACAAAGATGAAATCTAATTTCTACGTTATGTAATATAAAACCGTTGCCCTCTTTCAAAAGGCTTTATTAATATTCATTTTTCTATATTAAATACTCGAATTGAATTTATATATGATACGATAACTTGAATAAATAAGATAATTTTTATAATGAATAAATTTTGATAAATTATTCTAAAAGGAATGTATATGCATACATGCAATACAAACTCATATGAATATTTATATAAAGCCAATTATAATCTTTGACTGGTTTGTAAAATAATAATCACATATATTTATTTTGTAGATACTTTTTTTTACATAAAATTTAATTATTGAAAAATCAAAGTAATACTATTCTTATAATATATTGATTGTATCAATAACTATTTCATAATAATGAACAATTTCATTTAAATTCATTCTTATGTATTATTTATAAAAACACATTTAAAAGACAACATTATTTATAATATAATTTAACGTGGATTTTCTATTTATTGTTTTGATATACAATCATCTTTAATTCGAAGATGTTAAATCAATAAAATGCTTATCAGAATTAAAAAGATGTATAAAAATGTAAAGGAATTAAATAATATCCTAAAAAATACATAGATTTATTTTGAAAACTTAAAAATTATTTACATGTTTGTTAATACCGATGCACCCACAAACGCTCGCACGCGTACGCACGCATACACGCAACGCGCAAAATCGCAGATACCTACGCACGCAAACACACACATGCATGTAGGCATATATTTAAAAAATTCTACTTATTATAAATAATCAATTTTCAATTTTCAAATGATAATTTTATTTTTATTGTTGACAAAGGACTTTATGAATTTATGAAAAAAGTTTTTGAAAATTTAAGATGCATAGCGTTTATTTTACAAATTTAATAATTGCTCATGTATATAAGAGTATCGTCTATTGTAATTTTGAAAAACTAATATAAAAATAACAAATTAAATTCATACATAAACAATAATTTCGGTATATAATCATGATAAAACTTATAAATCTAAATACCATGCAACTTCATTCGTACAGTATCTTCAATCGTATAAAAATTAAAACTTAAAATAATATATAAGACGTATAGATATATTATATAAATATATGTATACGTTTATACAATATACAATAAAAATAATTACAAAACGCCAATATCTATCATTCATTTCATTATTTAGTATATTTTTTATTTTAAAAATAGCAATAATTTTATATTTAATTTGATAAAAATAAATACTCAATGTCTAATTCTTTTCTTTTTACAATAATTAAAAAATGTATTTAATAAAGCGATAAAAGTATTAGATATTATAAATTTACTGAAGTCTATCGTTAATTACAAAAAAGAATAATAATAAAATGATCTCATGAAAAATATAAGAGTTTAATAGCATTATCATTAACATAAATATTTTGTTAAATTAATTTCATATTCATTTATATATTTTTATATAATTCGTGAAAAATGTATAAATATTATAAATTGTCATAAATTAATTAAATTCAGAAAATTTATTGACATTAACCTTTTACTTTTAAACTATTTTTAAAAAACATTCTTTTAATATTTTATAATTTATATATTTAAATTATCTTAGTTCTGTCAGCTTTGGTATAAAATATTGTAAATGAATCTGCATATATAAATTTGATCTATACCAACGTCCATTAATCAAACAATAATTTGTTGTAGAACCTTTTTTAACCATCTTCAAACTTTTTTTTACTACGTATTAATGACGTACGTTATCCAGTCAACTGTTTTTGCAACTCGATGATAGATTCCTGGTTGTCCAGGTTGAGCACACGAATAGCCAGCAGAAACAATACCAATAAGATACCACTTTCCAGTCCTCTCTAACATCAAAGGACCACCGCTATCTCCCTATTTTGAAAAAAAAATAAATAATAACAATATCATTCAAATATGAAATAGGAAAAAAATACATATTAATTATAGTGAAAATTATTTTGAACTGATTATTGTCATGTTCGTAATAGTTAAGTATAAAATCTGAGGGAAGAATTAATAATGAAACATAAGATTTTATAGTTATAATTTAATAACTATGCAGTTACTTTTATTGCTAAAATGAAATTTTTAATTCTCTACTTTATAAACGATAAATTATTTAACATTAATGGAAGTTTTCAAAAATAATAATAAATAATAGCAATTATTAATGTTGAATAGAAAAAACGTTCCATACATATTTTTAAATTGCACACAAAAATTTCGTAAATAATTAATGGTAAATGTGTATAAATATTTTTTCTCGGTTGTTGAAAATTATAATATTTTTGCTAAAGATATATTTATGTATACAAATATTAAAATCAATATGAGTTACATTTTTTTACGTCATGCATTTACTCTTGTTTATCTTTATATAATAGAATTTCTTACTAAAGTGAAATTAAATTAAATTAATGGGATAAAATCTATTTCTATAATGAATTTAATTTGATATTTATACCTGACAAGAATCTTTCCCACCTCCTCGATATCCAGCACACATCATTTCATCATAAATAACAACATTGATACCATTTGAACGATGCCATCTTTCGCAAACTCGATTATCAATCACAGGTACATCTACTGCTTGTAAGGTTTTTGGTCGAAGCCTCGAACCTAAAATAATTCATTAAATTGTTTAACAAATTCTTCTAACAATTTAACAAAACTCAATAATCAAAGTTTTACTTCGATTATATGTTTGATACCTGCTTGAAGAGCACCCCAACCAGCAGCCCACCCGTATTGTCCCAAAAAGTCTTCGTTTTTCGACGGCAAGCAAATTGGAGCGATATGAGGCATATAATGAACTGGTCTATCGAGTCGTAAAACTGCAACATCAAATCTGAAATATAAAAAACAAGACTTAAATACATATTATCTTTATTTACTGAAATCGAGACTTTGTGTTACAAAAAATTTATTAATAATAACACATTAAATTGTATACAATATTTTATACTATAAAAAATTTACATTAAAATAACGTAAAATTATTGTCTCATAATGTTCAACGAGTTCAATTCACAACACGTTTATTTTATTTCATTATGGAGTTTTAATAAGAATCAAATCTCATATATGAGTATATTCTAATATGATTAAATAATATTTTGTGCTATTTTTTACTAATTAAATAACTTCAAAAATCTAAAATCTTTGTACTATATAGATACATTATAATTGAAAAATATAAATATTCTTTAAGTATTTGAAAATTAAATTAAAAAAATATGTAAATTAGCATAGGAAGGAATATTTTGATTTATTAGAACTTATTAGAAGTCTCTTAATAGATGACTATATTTATTCGAATTGATAAAATACATTTAATTACATATTTATGTATTGTGAAAAAATATACACACTTAAAATACAAATAATAACAAAATAATGAAACATAATAAAATAAACAAAATTATTACCAAAATCACTATGTAATTGATATTATTATTTCAATACTATATTGAAGGAAGAAATTAATTTGTGCATGAATTTTATAACAATTTGTCAAACAATGTTTATTTAATAGTATTAATAAAGTTAAATATTTAATAAAATCAACTGAAATTCAAGTATAAAATTATTTACAGAACAGAAAAATTTATTATAAAATTATACATCTAGTTATTTAAAAATTTATTGAAATGTTGAGATGTACGAGTTGCCTAATTTAGAACAAAAAGTTTTCTATACATATGGTTTTTTCAAATATTTTATAAGAAAAACCACTTTTAAGATAAAGTTTTCTATCAAATCACAGTACATTTAACGTTATTTCTCTTGGTTAAATGTGATATTTCAACACATGTTCGTACATCAATCATAAATTGCAAACATTGAATAAATTTTTTCGTTTTCTAAACACTGATAGACAAACACTCAATTAAAAAAGAAAAAAAAATACACATTACCTATCAGCTTGAGGCGTAAATTTGAAATAAGGATGTACACGAATTTCTCTTACGCCAAATGTATAAGCCGGTAGTGACTCCGTAGCGGAATTCACAACGTAATCACCTAGCGTCACTTGCACTTGACGAGCAGATGCCCTACGTAAAGGTATAAAAAAAAAAAAAGAAAACAATACTTTAAACGAGTGACAATAATAAACAGAAATTAACCTCTTTCACATAGGAATTACTATTTTATTTTATTATTATTTCATTTTTAAGAGTTAACAAAAAAAGTCGGTAATGCTAACTTGGCTACGCAGTGGCCGGCAGTAACAACATGATAGCGATTTACAAGTGTTCCACCACATCTGCTGGATCCTATTCTAATATATGCCTAGAAAATTAAATTAAAAATTAATGTAATATCAATTTATATGAATGATATAGTAACCTTACATATTCATCTAAGGAATTAGTGATGAAAGGTAAATTAATATTACTACATTTTATGAAATTATGAAGTTATAGTAAGTATCATGTAATAATAATTAGAATATAAAGTATCACTTTTCAAAAGCTTTATTGCAAATCTCAATGTTTACGTAAGCACATTTTCAATTGTTTTTTTTTTTTTTTTTTTCATTATTTATTCAAACAATTCAGCAATTATTCGATTAAAATGAATGATTCTATCGATAATTTTCTTGAAAATTAAATGAATTATCATCTGTAAATGTAGGAAAAAAATATGCTTCTTAATGAAAGAAGTGAAATGAACAATAGTGAAAAATTTTCAAAAACAAAAAAAAATATACGAAAGATATACATATATAAATATCATCTTAATTAGCACAAATTAAATAATTTTCTGCCTAAAATAATTGTTTGTATAGTATTGAAAAGAAGCATAAAAATAAAGTCTTTCAATATATTATTAACTCCCTGTAAATGTTATTAAATATTTTTCAATAAAGATTTGTAATCAATTAATACTCTTATCATTTTCATATTTAATTTATCTGATATCGATAGGTAATATTTAATTTTTATTAAAACTATACAAATTTTATTACGTCAGTTGTTCATATTACATCCGCGCGCGCACACGCAACACGCGTACATATCTTAAAATTTTTTATTAATCAATAATAATATTTTATAAATTAGTTATTAAATTTTGTATATGTTTAATAACAAATGGTAAAATATTAAATATTTAAATCAAAATAGTAAAGTTTCATCGAAGCATCTTATTATTATGTAAAAATTCCGCTGATATATTTAATTAATCAAACTAAATGATAAAATAATTATTTTAACTATTCAATAATAATATAATCAATATATATTTATCGATATTATCAGTTTTATCAATATTACCTGCCAAGGAAAACTCCCAAACCCCGCTTCATCACCGCCAACAATTCGTCTCTGAGCCGTTTGCTTAGATGCTGAAATACCACATTCTGAAATTGAAATGTGTCATGTAAACGATTTATTGATACCTCGATTAGCTTAAAATTAATTTACTTTTTACAAATATTAAAAAATGTTATTCGTTTCAAGATATCACTATTGAGAAACACTCACAAAATTATAAAATTCGCTATAAATATAAATTCAAATTTATGAAGACTAAGATAGGTGATAAAAACGTTGTGCGCTCGACTGACGTGCCTTAACCTAAAATAATATGAAATAGTGAAAAGTATAAATAATTTTAAATATTGCTATCATGCACTATTCAATGTTGATTAGCTACCAAAAATATGTATTGAAAATCTCTAACAAAATTTCATGAACCAAAGATATTTGATAAATTTATCAACAATTCAGATTCCTTTACACACGTTATATTTTAAAACAAATGTCATATCGTCAGTCGATCGTATTCGAAATTCGAAATTCTAAAATATAAATACACGTATAGTCACAAATAACTTTTAATCTATTACAAAATACACATTTTTTAAATAAAATTATTTAATTAATCATTGTAAGGTATATAAATCTTTATGAGAAGAAGCAGTACAAAGTATATCGTAAAAATCTATCTGAACAATATCAATAATCATATTTCTAAGTATAATATTAATGTAAATTAAATTTATATATTAATATGTTGTTTAGTTTTACCTGCTATTATTAATATTATATTATGATAAATTTAAATAATAATATATGTTAAAGGATTGTAAATTTCTTCTATAGAATTGTTATATATAAATTTCATACATTATTAATTTCTTATTAAAAATTTCTCTTAAAACAAAAACCTTATAAAGATTATTTTTATTTATATTTGAATTTTTTTTATTTATTTTTATTTATACGACATATTTGATATAAAATTTATTGATATGCTAATTTAACCGATATTTAATGTTTGAAATTATTTTACTGACCATATATTTTTAAATATAGTTGAAATCACTGTTTATACACTATAATTAATTAAGCTTGCATAATTCGCATATTATAGGATATCGGTTTAATGGTTTATTCGAACATTATTTTGATGATATTTTATCGATCAAACAATTATTTTACAGGAATAACATACAGCGATTATCTATAATGAAAGACATTTTAGAAACCAATAGATTCAAAATCCTATTAACAAGATTAAGAAGCATTAGATATTAAAATTAATAAATTGAACGACATTATATTAAGGAAAAATTTTAAAAGGAAAGAATTATCGTTATTCTTCTAGACGATACATGAATAGTTAGAACAATTATGTACAGCATATATTATATAATTCAAATTTTAATCGTTTTATTTCATTTTGTGAAAGTCAGAACTTTTAAATTAACTAAATACATTTAGTTATAACGGATACTTTAACTTAATAAATTAAATGCATAAAGATTACGTTAAATAAAAATGTAAATTTAGCAAAAAATTTTGACGTTCACATTGTTCAGAGCAATTTACAAATATTTTATCATATAACAAACATATTTTTAATTTAGTTTGTAAGATAAATTTTAATTAAAAGATAAATAAATTGTACGACTGTATAAAAATTGAAATACAAACAATGCAAATAAGATTATTATATTTTCATAATAAATTAACAGTTAAAACTAAATAATTTGCAGGAATATTTATACGCATTTATTTAATCAATAATAAAACAAATATCACAATATTTCTGAGAACATATCCTACTACATATGATTGCATATGATTATATGTATGTATTTGTTTATATTATGTTCCAAATATTATAATATAATTTACATATAATACTGATTATACTCACTTATGATTGAGAATTACTGATAAAAAGTAAAATTTTAATACATGCAAATTGGTAATTATAACGAAGAAACATTGAAAATAGCGAGTTTCAAAACGCCAAATAACAAATTGTCTATAAATCATATAGTCCATTTAAAAATCTGCAATTATTTAATATATAACAATGAATATTTCCGTCGGTTAAAATGATCGTTTATAATATAAATATAATATATAAATTTCAGTTAAATAAATTGTTTTGCTCAATTATATTAGTAGTATTTCACAAAATATGAATAAATGTTTTAGTCCATGTAATAGAAATCGATTATATATGCAATAATTAAATAAGAATTGTGTAAAATTACACTTACAATATCTCAAAAAATATTATTGCACGTTATTTCATATACTACTCATTTATTAACGATTTTAAAATCGCAACTTATAAAATTGTATTATTTATATGAATGTTACATAATTGATATATTATTATTAAAGAAAAGTTTATTATACACTATGAAGGATATACTATATCGATTAATTATGAAAAATACAAATTTGTTTCATTCTCTTTTCTGTAATAGGACTGAATCAATTAATTAGATAAACAAATTAGATAAATTGAAATATTTCATCTTTTATTAGAAATATTGAATTTTTTTCGTCCTTTCCATACAAAAATGAAAATTGACTTGTTTATTGTTCATGTGATATGTAAAAAAATTATTACTACAGAATTTCACGAAATACCACAATAAATAATAGGTGAAAACATTTATTTTTGACAATTTAATGTCACTGATATTCTTTCCCTCTATTCATTGTTCACTTATCTCACTCTTTGTCAATTCTACAATTCTCTATACAGTATATTCTTCATTTTCTAATTCTCCTCTCTCTATATCCTTTCACTACTATTTTGTCTTTCACTTTCATTACACAAACACATGCGCGCGAATGCACGCACTCACGCATATACATTCATGTGAATTTGCGTATGTGTATCGTAGGTGACAGGGTGTATCTATGCATATATATATATATATATATATATATATATATATATATATATTGTGTGTGCGTGTGCGCGCGTGCGTGCATGTGTGTGCTTGTGTGTATTGTAGGTGCGTGCATGTGCGTGCATGTGTGTGCTTGCGTGTATTTTGTGTGCTTGTGTGTGTGTGTGTGTGTGTGATATTTCTTCCTTCCTTCGATTGCGTGCGAAAATATTTTTTGTCTCGACGAGTCTTGCTAAGATGAAACTTACGATCCTCATCGGTGGTTTCAGCAAGGTAAGCATCGGTTGCAAGCGACTGAAACTGATCTCGTGGCTCGTCGATAAGATTATAATCATTGCTTGCTTTAGCTGCATCTTTAGTCCGATGGCAACAAGTATACATAATGCCGCCACAACTGCCATCCAGTAAACCCGCGGACATCCAGCACATTAGAAAAAATTCACAGCTCCGTCCGTCAGCGCACAACGAATCATCACCCTTCCACACCGGCCTTTTTTCTTTCCGCGATTCTGCACAGAATGTTTTTAAAGAGGGCTTGTCAACTCTTTGCCTTTACTTGCAATATATAAATCCGTGAGCTATGATGCACCTTGCAAACTTTATATGCATGCCTTTAAAATTCGATCTTTATTATATTGTGCTAATTAAAAACGCATATTTTGTAATTTTTGTAAATTTCCAATGACCTCAGTTACGATTCTGAGTAAGCAAAATCCAAGGTTAAGATATTGTAAATAGTTAAAATTATTAATTATTAAATTAATAAATTGTTGGATAAAATTATGAAATATTTTTTAATAAATAAATATTTTATAGTCTAATAAGTACTAACAAATACTAAATAAAATTAATTCAACTGTATTAAAGAAATACTAAATTTAAAAAATCTAACTATAATTACATGTAATTGAGAATGAATTCTATTTTTCGTTTTATAAATTAAATTAAGTTGGACGTTTTGTTAATGTATTCTTCTAACAAATAGTATAATCGGATTCATATTTCATGACTCAAAATTTTTATATAAGAACTTTACATTAATAGTTTATCGTATTTTCTATTCTCTTTTCTAAATTTTTATTGAGTACATTCATTTTTATATATAAAACTACGACGAGTATTCTTTCTATCGTCATAAGTATGAATTAACATATATACATAAAATTTTTTATTTTATTAAAAAACAAAACATTTTAGTGTCATAATGTATGTTTACGACAGATAAAATTAATACAATATTGTAAATTATTAGGTTTTATATACATTAGAAAGTTAATTTTGAAAGTAACAGTTTTTAAAAATAATTCTGAATAGATAATTTTTATTTTACTTTTTTATGTATAAAATCGACTTAAAGTGTAAATTTATGAGTATCGTAACTAATATAATATATTCTTACTGTATAGTACTAATAATATTGTAATATTATTAATATTTAAAAATCTATATATTAAAACTACTATTAAAAACAATCCGACTTTTCTAAAAAATACCTATAATTTACAAATGATGTTTTTTCAAATAAGAATAATTCAAGGAGAAAAATTCTTAATGTAACTAAATATAAGAATAAATTATAATGTAAACGCTGTAGCATAAACAAACCATGAATTAGATTTATTCTAAATATAAATAAAGATATAATATCCAATCTAGTGAAAAATCGAAATATTGACTATAATTATATATACTATAGCTTTATTTAAACAATATTTTTAATAATCTATAATTTCTGTATATATATTCTAAATCAATAATAATTGAACTTCACATACCTGTTTCAAATCTGGGATATTCATTAAAAAGTTGTTTTCGATGATCTAAAATAGATAAAATTGAATAGATTTAGTCTTAATCGCTAAATCATTAAAAACATATATATTTACGTGTCTTAATATAAATAAATTTTAAATTATTTTTTAAAGAATGTAATCTTGTAAACGCATGTATTAAATAAATTATGAATTTAATCTATTATTGATGGACTACTATTATTTTATAGTATTAGGTTTGATATACACATATTAGTAAACTGTAAAATTGTTTTGTAAGAAAACTTTCATGGTAATAAAAAAATTAATATGTGTAATTAGTATATAATATAAATGGAAAGTTAATAAAATATTATAATATTATAGTTAAATATTTTATCAAGTATTTTATAGGTAAATTTAATGTAATTGATAAAGTAATTAATTTTATAAATAAATAATTTTTATAAATGTATCGTATAAATACTGGGACGATAAATCAAAATAAATGTTTACGTAAATTTATATTCCATTATCTTTATCTTATCTTGAATAACTCGTTATAATGCAATTAAATTTTAAAATGTATAAAACAAATTTTCAGAAGCCTATAATTAATTGTATAGGCTTATATGACATTTTTTCGGATAGCAAAAATGCTGACAAAATTAAACCCTTAAATACTTTTAATTTCAATTTGAACAATCAATTAATTGCAATTTATGAATCATTGAATTTAGTAACGTAAAGTATAATCCTTATAAGAATTATATTTGAAATAGAAGACTTATCATTTATATTGAATATCGTCAATACTGTGAAGCAAGCAATGATCTATGACTTTATTATGTACAAGAATCTTTATTGCGATCCTTATTATGATAACAATGGAAAGAAATAAAAATAAATTAACAAATATTGATTCTTAAGTGAATCAGATCTCAAAACTATAAAATAAATTGTCCTAATAATTTTTATCTTTAATTATTTAATTCCAAATAAAATATAAAGTATTAAGCATCATATTGTAATAATTTAAATATTAGATAAACTAAATAAATAATATAGTAGTAAATAATATAGTATTAGTAACTATACGGACTAAATTTAATACCGAATTCCCGTTACAATTGGGTCTGTTAGGAAAATTCAATTCTACATGCTGAAGGTAGGGATAAAATAATTTAATTTCCATTAAAGTATCGTTTTGTTATAACATATATATTGAAAAAATATTTGAGAATGTTCAAACAATATTTCTATTTAAATATTTTAATTTAGTATTTTCAATATATTACATAAAAACATTTATATACGGAAAAAAATTTAGAAAATATATATCTCATTGCTATTTACACAAGCAAGTGTAATGAAACAATTTGTAAACGAAGTGATATGAAAAATGTGTTTAAAAAACATAAAAATTACATCAATACCCATTTAATATATTTTTATATTATAAGTAATGTATAAATGTAATAAAAATTGTTCGAATTTTACATGCCTATCAATTTGTAATTTTAAATGAGAGATTTCATTATTGATAAAAAAGTATGAGAGGAATAATATAAAATTAAATATACATACAGGAATATAAAAATGAATAAATCAAATTATTATTATTTATGTAACATAATGAATATAATATAATCGCTTCTATTAAGTCCTTCATAAAATATAATGTAAATATATACTAAGACATTAATGTTATATTTATAACTGAATGCTTAAATAAAATTACTTTTGATTATAGCATAGTTTATTACACCTTTACATAGATTATTGAGACATTTAAGACGAAATTTATTCATACCTCTGTAGTCCTCGTCAATATCGGGTAGTTGATTTGATTGAAAGAAGTTATTGCCATTCCCTGATGTAACAGAAAAATCAGTATCCCTAAAGATAAGCCGAGGTGTTCTGTGTCCCATAACTGGAGCATTTGATCTTAATGGAAAATCCGCTGATAAAACTGGTGAAGACACTCCCGAATGTTGCCTCCAATAAGACTTCTGCTGTCGCCAATTTGAATATTGACCATTGCCCGTAGATCCAAAACGAACATTTGCAATTCCTAAATTTCTCCCTTGCTGGATAGATAGTGGTGGTAGTCCTGCACTTTCCAGAATATATCCCGGTGATAATGATGGAAAACGTACATATCGACGCCTCCGCGACTGCTCTGGATTTCTATTTTCATTTACTAATGTTTGAAGCTCATTGAGTAATGGTGAACCATTACTGGTTGAAAAAGATGAGTAACTATCGCGAGAAATATTTTTATTCTTGCCGTTGGCGCGACATAAGTCCATACAAAAGGCAAGAACAATGCCGATTAATAAGTAGTTGCATGGCTTCGTAATCAGCATTTTATTGCTATAAAGAAAACATATTAGTAAATATTCCATATAAAAATAATAACAAATGAGACGAAAAATATTAGAATAAATTTATAAATTTTACACGTACATTTATTTTCTCTACCCACGAATATATATTAATAAAATATCGATAAAAAGATTATTTATAAAAATTATCAGCTTTAATAGATTTCTTAGAAAACTTGACGCTCGCTATAATTAATCACATTGCTTATTATATAAAATAATAATCATAACGAATAGAAAAAATCTAAGTTCTAGAAAAATACTATTTGCAAATTTTAATTTCGTTTAATTAATCATACAATGTTCGATAAGATATTACATGTAAGTTTATATATTTAAATTTCATGCATTCACTTATAAATTTTATTATTACGTATTTAAAACTATCACTGGTCTTCATGATTAAATGATTTTATCATTACAAACAGATTCTAAATTTAAAATTCAGACTATAATTAAACAAGAAATTTATGAAAGACATTATATTGAATTGAGTAAAAATACATTTTTTAAGTTATAAATAAAATTGGAAAAGTATGAGCAAAAAAACCAACAAATAATATTATTAATTATTTTTCTTAAAAGAATTAATATGCATTGGAAAATAGAATATTCTATTTTAATAATCAAATAATTAAATCATAATTATTGATTATATTTTTATTTTATTATTTTTTATATTAATTATTTTATCTTTTAATAAATTTAAAATATTATACAAATTTTTACTTATTAAGATAATTTTACTATAGTAGATAATTTATATTTGTTTTGACAATTTATGCATATAGTGAGCTAATAATGAAATAGAGTAATATGTGCCGACGATCAATATTTTAACGATGGAATAGACTTTTATTACAATATAATTTAATTATTTAAATAAAATTAATAATATAATAAAATAAAATATATATTAACATTTAATCAAAAACCGAATTTAATTAATTTAATTAAAATTATTAATATAAATAGTCCAAGCTAGCATCTATTCTTTTCTATTTTATGTATTGCTCAATCTTTTAAATAAATAAGATATTAAATATGTAGGAAATACTTTTCTGCTTAGTATTTGAATGAATGGACATTAAAAAGCAATCTGAATTACACTATCTATAACAAATCACTTAGATATAAATTTTAGTTACCTAAGCAATTTTTACTATTATGTTATAATACATTTAATTATTACTCATAAAAATTAAAAAAAAAAATGATATTAATTAGTACATTTATATTTGTTATTGAAAGAATAAAATCTGAATAATAAAAATATTTTCAATGTTAAAGCTTAAAATGGCATAAAATCCTTTTGGTTCTTTGAAATAATTCAAATTTATTATAATTCTTTGATTATAATTTAGAGTACATAACTGTTCATGCATTCATCCTATAATTCAGCAATATGAGACTAATAAAATATTTATAATCATTTCTTTGATTAAAATATGGAAAAAAGTGTTACATATAAATAAATATTTTAAAGTATGTAATATCATAATGAAATTACGTATTATAATAGCAGGTAACGTTAATGACTAAACGTTAATTAATAAATTTAAATAGATATATGTATAATTCTTTTTTTTTTTTTTTATAAAATAATATTAAATTAATCATAGTATATTTATTTATTTATGGTAAAGTAGTGGTATAATAGTTAAAAATATATTAGGCAATAACAAAGTTTTGCCTCAAATTTTGTCATTGCTCAAAATATTTAATCATTTAAATTTAAACTAGTACATAGTTAAATTAAATATGATGCAAATAATTTATCAATATTATTATACTTTTATATTTTTCTTTTACTGCTCAATACAAACAAAAAGAAATGTACTCAATTTTATAAGATTTTTATATACAGTCAATATTAAGTATAATTTATACTAATGAAAATATTTAAGATTAACTTTTACGTATTTATAATTTACTGAAACAATTTTTTAATAAATATCTCAAATAACTTTATATTATTCATGATTAGAAAATATAAATCAGTATTGGATTAATTTGAAATAAATTATTAGGATATATTATATTTTAATTTTTTTTTTTTTTTTTTTTGTAATAAATTAGAAAAAAAATAATTTGCATTAAATAAATTATTTTATAATAATAACAATCCTATCTAAAGCTATTTTAGAATTTAACACAAAAATGGTCTTATTTAACACACGTATTTATTTATTTATAAATGCATAATATAATGTATTACTAAATAGATTATAAAAAAATTATTATATTAACATATTTCACATAAACAATCAATAACTCTTTAATACGAAAAATTATTATGGAGAAAAGATACCATTTTAAGCATTTTTATCATTTTTCTAATTATAGGTTACCTCTACGAAATTAAACGTTTTTAGTTAAAATATGAAAATACAATAATTATGAAAGATAGATACTAAAATATTAGATTGAATTAACATATTGTAATGAATTAATGAATTAAAGTCGTACCGCATACTTTTAAAAGAAAATTGTATAAATATACTTCATTATGTTACAATATTAATTGAGAATTCATTTTGATGTTTTTTTCTATTATATAATATACGTGTAATAAATGAGCTTGGTAGGATATTCATTACATATCTAATAATATTAATAATAGTTATAAAATTTTTGCATATAAATATAAAACTATGACTAATAGTTATTTATTTCACTGGCGTAAAGATTAGAACATACATATTCCATACAAAAAGAAATTCAAATTGATTATTGTAATTACTATAAAAAATTATTTTTGTATACTCTTTGCTTTTCTAAAATATATTTTTTATTTACTTATATAACAACCAAATAAATATATATGATTCTCAAATAGGGATAAATAACTTAATTATGATTATTATATTTATTATTTATTGGACATAAATAATCTTAAAGAAAACATTTTTACATTTAATATCTTTACGTAATACTTATAGTGATAAAGTCTGTATATTTATTGTACACAGATTTTTGTATAATTTTATCAAAACATTATAAATTCTTGATAAATCCAACTTTCCCTATTTATTCTAACAAGAGAAAGAGTTTCTTTAGATGTTCTAAGCCGTTAACCTTTCAAAGTATACTTAATTGAACATCAAACAGAAACGCACACGACGAACCGTACAGTAATACGTTTACAAAAAACTATCTTTATAAAGTTTCTTCACAATCGATCGTTTGAATTCCCAATGCGTATCAATTATTAATATGGAATATATGTCCTTTATTTTTAATCTATTAATAATATCATGTTATAAGTTTTATACTGAATAAAATTCTGAAATCCTTAATAAAAATGTACACTGCTGACATTCTCATGAGAATACATATGGGTATTTAACTGGATTGATACCAACTTCTATTTATTTTTATTTTCCTATATTCAAAATATTTTAATTTTGAATTTAACATTCTTATTTGAATGAGATTCATTAATTTGTATATTGTCTTTTCTCTATTACTTTCAACGTCTGTCTGCATATTTTCAACATCTAAATCTGTCTTAAATATATTAGATCAAGTATTTCTTTAAATAGTTCAAAAATTCATTTGTTTAAATTGCTTGATAAAAGAATGGTAAAAACTGATTAAATAAAATTATAAACTAATATTAGGGTATGCTTTCTTAATTATAATTACTTTCCTAATATTAATTTGCAAAATTTGTGTAACAATAAAGTATGTTGCTGTAAATATAATTATATTTTTGTAAAAGTATATATAATATTAATTGTATAAAAATTGTCGTAATGATACGCAAATATTCATGATAATTTTGAAAAGAACAGTTAACATAAAAGAAAGATTATAATCGAGTATAATATTATTATTCTTTGCGTAATAGATAGTATTAATTATAATTTATTTAAAAATTTGTAAAATACATTGAAAAAGTACCAAAATTAATTGTTAATATTAAAAATTAAATAAGTAGTGGGATTATGTCTAATTTATAAATTTTTTTTTTAATTTAAATAAAATTATTTGTTGGTGTATTTTATTTATTAATAAGAATATCTATTTTCAATGTATTTAAATTGTTTTATGAATTATTATTTATTTCAATATGTATTGGATATTAAAAATTTAAATGTCATTATAAAAATTATAAAATATTAAAAGATTTTTATGTAATGATAAAGAATCAAGGGAATAATTCCATTGTAATAACTAAATTCAACAAGTTAATTATTTTCATTGAAATATTGACGTTTTTAGTTTGGTTAGTTTACTTACAAAAGCATCTATATATTTCAGAGTATATTCTTCAATAATAGATTTGTGTTTCAAAATCTACTTAAAAATCGAAGGCATTCTATTGTAATATATTGATGAATTCTAAAAACTATTGTATTTTTTGCTATTAAATGATTGAAAAAAATTGACTAGTGACGAAGATGATTATTTACACATGTGTATGTTTTACTGATTTTATTTATTTGTATTATTATCCAATCCAAAAAATGTTTAACAATATTATAAAAAATAAAAATAAAATCTCACAAAGTTAACAGGTAATACATAAAAATATAATAATAAAACATATAGATAGAATAATTTAAAGTCAACGTTTTTTTTTTTAAAGCGATGTTATCACAATGGGGCATAGATCGCGTGTCGAAAATTACGAGCATCCGATACAGGCAACCGAGTTTTATACATTGTATCTTTGGCCTCGAAGACACGAAATTTCCATCCTCACAGATTATCTGACTGGCAGGAGGAAACCAGCTGTGCAATGCTTTGAGAGAAAGCAACTATGCATTTTCTTCCGCTACGCAAAAGGGATATTTATTATTTTCTTTTTTAAATAATTTAGCGTTATCGCAGTTGCTTTCATCGCAAGCCGATTTTAATTACTTCTTTAAGCACGATAACAATTACAGGCACTGAGGCGAATCATTGATGAGCTTGTTGAAGTCGCTGTTAACATGACAATGCTTAGATAGTACAAGCTTCTAAGCCAAATGTAAATACTAT